CGGTGTTAGACCTAGGAAATTTCAATGGACATGGAGGTAAGGTGGAATTCTACATATCGATGCTCAAGCATTTGTTTCCTCACCAGACTCCTTTCACTACCTTCATGCATGCTCACTATCCTAGGGGTGAAGGTGGTGGTTGCTTTTAGCCCGATGAACATTGGGCTGTTGTACAAAAAGTATTTAAATTTCTTGAACTGTTTTATGATGCTACTGCTGCTTTTGTCTGGTGTGTACTATCCTACATCTCCATTTATGATTCATTATCTAGTTAAGATTGCTATACACCTAAAAAACTATGGTAATGACACTCACCTCGGACATGTGATTCAACCAATGATAGACAAATATAATAAATCTTTGGAGGAATATTCCTTTGCTATATTCTTTTGCATTCATCTTAGATCCTAGAGCTAAAATGAAAGGTTTCAGTGATCTTGAGGAGGTTGGGTAGCCTTACCAAGACATCCTATGAAACTTACCACTTGCCACTAGAGCTCGACTAACTGATGTTTACAATAAGTATGAGGAGAAATTTGGATCTGTTAGGTTGAGGAGGACTGTCCCTCCTAACCTGTCTGGTAAGAAAAGGTCTGCTTGGGATGAGATTTATGATGATGATGAAGGTGATTGTTCTGCAGGTGGTATCCATCCTCTATCTGGTACTCTTAATCTGTCTAGACATACCTCTGCAACTGCCCTACTGCATGCTGCAAGTTCTTCTAATAATACTTCTGAACTGGTTTCCTACTTGGACTGTGACACTGTTAGCCAGTTAGATGATGATTTTAACTCGTTGAACTGGTGGCATGAGCACAAACTCACTTATCCAGTTCTGTCAATCATGGCTAAAGATATTTTAACTGTTCCTGTTTCTACCATATCTTCCGAGTCCACTTTTAGTATGAGTGGCAGGATAATCGAGGAGCGGCGGAGGAGGCTGAAGGTGAGATGGTGGAGATGCTCACCGCATCAAAGATCGGGAGGCGGTGAGGCAAGGATGCAAAAGACACAATGTGGAAGACCGGGGAGCTTGAAGAAGCATTTGAAGAACTTTATCTTGATTAGTTGTCTTAGTTATCATTTATGTCTTTGGACTGTAATATCTTTGGACTTATGAACTTTGATTTAAGGACAATGAACTTAAAAGGAGCTAGGTGTACTTTTTTTTCCCTGTCTAGGGTTTCTCACAAGGGTGAGTTTTACCTAGATGAGTTTTTAATGAGGCGACCATTGCACTAAAGCTCCAATAAAATTTTATTTTGTTCTCTCCAGTCATTTTCGTGTTTGTTATCTTCTGAAGTTTCAGTTAAAGTTTGAACTTGTATCTCTGCTGTCAAAGTGTGATCTTCTAAAATTTGATGTATTGTACAAGTTTCTGTTAAAATTCTGAAGTTTCTGAGGTGTTTGACACTTTTAGTGTTAGTGCCGGCACGAGCACTACGGGCTGCCGTGCCCAGTGGCACGGCACGGCACGCCTAAGCCATGATAGTGCCGTGCCTGGGCCACTGAGTCGGCACGGCGGCACTATCAGGCACGGCACGGCTAACATGCCGTGCCGCGTAGTGCCGTGCCTGGCCGGGCCGTGCCTGTCCGTGCCCGTGCCAGTGCCGTGCCGGGCGGCCCGTTTGGCCATATATACTGATCGGCAAAGAACTGCACGAATGTTATTATGTATAGTTAGCCAAAGCTGCAGTCTAGTATTTTTCATTTTTTTTAAATGTGCGTGCGGTCACACGTACAGTTGGACCTATTCACCTATATATTGCTAGATGAAGCAAGCGCAGAATACACAGGTGTTGGTTCTGATTTACAGGCAATTAATACATCGCATCCGTATACTCTGCAGTCCTGCAACCTTTTTTTTTTTCCGAAAGAACGGCAAAAGCTTTGCCGCGATTTCTATTAGAGGATGAAAGAAAAAAAAAGTCAAATGCCCATCCAGTTTTTTGAGCAAAAACTAGATCTAAAAACCATACAACTCAGAAGAGTGCACCACTCGTCCTAACAACTTTGGTACAACAATTGGGCAACTATCACAACTCACACCACTACTTCATCCAACTTGGTCAGAACGACCCAACTAAACAACTCAAATATCTGCAGTGCCGGTTGTATGTTTTGGCAGGATGATCCATGACCTCGTTGCATTGCGTTCTTGATGATATATGTATATGTTTGTAGTGTATGTACATGTATCTAATCTTTAGAGTTTTATAGCAAAGCACCGGTCCTTGCATTAACAAGGACAAAAGGTTTACAACATCCAGGTGGATAACACCTTCCCAATTAGTCCACAAAGCACACAGCTACAAAGACCCCTAGAACTAACTCTGGGCATAATTAACCGAAGACCGAAGACCGAACCGAAAAGACCAAGACCGAGACCGAAAAGTTCGGTCATGAGTTCGGTCCTGGCTCTCAACTAACCGAAGTAACCGATAGAAGTTCGGTCATATGTGTCGGTTAACCGAAGTGACCGAACTGACCGTAGTTCTGTAGACTTCGTTCGTAATGTCATTATGTGTGATTGTGATTTGTGAGAACTGAGAAAGTTGTGTGCTAGAACTTATCATAATAATGTGTGGTTTGTTTTATATATTGTGTTGTTATTTTTTTGCCTTCAAATAGCAAGCATGCTGTTGAAAATTGCTATAGATTCTGCTATTGTTTGTGGCTGCTACTCAGGTCCGGTTAGTTCGGTCGTGACCGAGACCGAACCGAACTAACCGAGACCGAACTTCCTCGGTCTTCGTTTTTTGCAAAGACCGATCGGTCCCAGGTTTCTGATGACCGAACTGACCGAATGACTGAGGAACCGAACCGATCGGTTCGGTCTGACCGAATGCCCAGGGTGACCTAGAACACCACATTGCACTCAAGATCAATTGCATGCCCCATTCCAATCCCAACTTTAAAACTCGGGCTGTGGGGGATAGCATGCGGCCCAAGCATCTCGCATTAAGGTATATGACTTTTCACCCAGTTCGAGAAAACCCCCAAACCTCGTACCCCGCACGCACGCAGGGGCCTGTTACCGTGTGAGTGGACCAGTGCCGCAAACCTAAGTTTTGGATAACATGGGATAGACGAGGGTTTTTTTTTTACCTCCGGCACCCCTTGGGGGATCGAACCCAGGCCAAGAGGTGCCACCCGGAGTGCTTGACTTGCATCCTTTGGCATTCCGATCCCAACTTCAGAAAACTAATCCATTTCCCCTCTTCAAACACCTCCCCGTAGGCGAGAACTCCACCAAGTGACTTTTGGCTCCAACCAGGACATCTGTCAATTCCCAATCAGTTGCACTATGATACGGGAACTTCTCCCCTTTATCAACCACTTGGTTTAGCCATTTAGCCCTGGAGGTCTGATGGCTAAATGTTTCAGCTTCTACAGCCTTGTATTGAATTTCAGGATTTTTTTTTTCAGTGGGCAGAGTATACTCCAGAGCCCTGGAGCATGACTGTTATCTTTAGGAGAAGGGATTGCACATTTTTCCAAAGAGTTCCCTCAAAGCAAAGACTGTTTCTGAACTTGCAAGGGGCAGCAGCACAAAACATATTTTGCGTACTAAAAACCTTTTGTTACTTAAACACAACTGTTGTCCCACTGAAAGAAAATCAGCACCTAAACTTTTATCTAGAGTTTCAGAGAGAGCACCACAACTGCTTAGCTACAACACAGTCAAAGAAGAGGTTAAAAACCTATTCAGGTTCACTGCAAAATAAGCGAGAATGATCCTCTACTTTTTTCTTACACTAAGGTTGTCCCTCGTCAACAGTTTATTTTTAGAAATTAGCCATAAGAAAAAATGAGCTCTAGGAGGTATCTGAAGACTCCAAACCGCCGGAACATGTACAGGTAACACCCCTATGAAATTAATCACTTTATAGAGGGATTGAGAGGAACATACACCATTAGAATTAAGCTGCCAAATTAAGCAGTCTCTTCGTCAGACAAACAAACTATAGAAGCTAATTAAACTACTTCTAACCAAAGGTTCATCAACATGTTTTCTAAAGGTGCATTTAAGATTTGTTCATCCCAAAGATTAGCCATCGTTTTCGACTTTCCATTGACCAGAATATAAATTTCCCAACACTGTATGGCTAAAGGAGAGGTTCTTAACCAGTTATCCTCCCAAAACTTAATCTTCTTGTCGTTACCTATTTTCCATCTAAGTCCCATTTTCGTAGCAGAGGCTGCCCACAGCAAGCCTTTAAAAAACAATGAAGCCCCCCAAGAGTCGAGTTGCCCGTCTCCATTACTTGTGACCATATAGATCGTATCTTCTAATCCACAAGGCTAACAGATTGAGATTTAAATCTCTCAAATTTGGGATCCCGAGCCCTCCAACATCTTTTAACATACTAACACTCTCTCAATTTGCAAGATGATATGTATCTAATTTTGAATCTAATTTTAGATTGATTCTAATGATATACTCCTATTCAATAATGATCGATGCATAATGTCAAAGACGAAAGTCTTATCCCCCTCTGGGTTGTTCCAAATTTTGGGAGTAATTAACCCCCATTTCCCTTGAGCCTCTGCACTAGGCTGCGCCACTCGCGCGTGTAAAACTGATGACTATTCTCTATCCTTCTTATTAATGAAATGCCGGGCAACTGGGTCTTTAAAAAAAAATAAAAAAGAAACCATATATATAACTATCAGAAAATTGTATATTGGCCTTTCAAAAAAAAAAAACCATATATATAACTATCAGAAAATTGTATATTTAGGACTCCAATCGTTGCACTTACATGGGCAAAGAAGAAATAAACCAAGAATGTACGTCTTGTTATTCATCTTTACGAAATAATCGAAGCACTTGCCTTACATGGATGCACTTTGCATTTTACAGGCAGTTTATTCAATGTTTTCGTATGTAGTTTAGGGTATATATGTGTATATCTATATATCTCGTTATTAAATTATATATGTCTTGTTCGATAGATCGTGTATATATGGACCCGCGAGTGCGTCCCACTTGTTTTTTAGGAGAAATTGATGGGGTACGCCGGGGATTTGTCCGGGTTGAAGAGTCCGAAGTGCCTCTCCGTCTCGGCTCCAGGCTTCTGGTCCTCGTTGAACATGGCGAAGATGTAGGTCTCGATGGATCCAGGGCGCTTGGGCGTGCCCTGCCCGACATGGTTGATGAGGTTCTGATTGTAGGTCTGCGCGTTCCCCGGAGTGGCGGCGTCGCCGCCAGCCGACGGCCACCCGCTCGGAAACGACGACGCCGACGTTCCCGGCGCCGGCGTTCTCGAGCGCGGAGACGAAGGTGTCGACGAGCGCGTCGAAGAGGTTCTGGTACGCGTTGCCGCCGTCCTGCACGACGGTCCCCGGCGACGTGAAGAGCGCGTAGCTGAGGTCGATCTGGGCCTCGTTGCCCGTGTAGGAGAAGTACGGGTACACGTTGCAGAGCAGCGGCGCCCCGTGCTCTGCAGGTACTGCGCGATGGGTCCCATGTACCCCTGCGAGAAGCTGCCCTGCGACGGCGGGAACCCCTGCGTGACGCCGCTCTGCACCGCCGTGGACACCTTGATGTTCCCCAGCCCGGCGTTGGCCAGCGCGGAGTTGACGTTCTTCATGGCGGGAGGATGCTGTTGGTGTCCCCGCCGGAGACCTCGTTGCCCACGGCGATGTACTTGAAGTTGACCCCCGGGAACGCCTGCACGTTGCTCTGCACCCACGTGGCCGCCGCGCTCGGGTCGGAGGCCAGCGAGGAGAGGGCCGAGTTGGGCACGTCCATGATCACCCCGATGTTGCTGCCGCTCAGCGCGTTGAGAGCGTTGGTGTCCGGGAAGTAGATGCGCATCTGGTTGATGCCGTTGGACCGGTAGAGTTGCACCACGTCGCTCGCCGACGGCAGGTTGTCGCCGTTCACGCCGTAGCACACGCCGATGGCGTGGACTCCTGTCAACCATGCAGATCATCGATTATTAGCATTGCACTGAGTACATTACGTACGTACGTTTGTGTACGCAGTGTATGGTATGGATAGCTACACATGAACCTAAGAGTTTGACAGCACATGGGTCGCGTAGTACTGTGTACCTGTAGGAATGGCTGCAAATGCTCCGAGAAGCAATGCCAGTGCAAGCATGGAAGCCACACCCTGCTTCGCCATCTTGGAAGGATCAGGATCAGGATCACTTGTACTCCTACGTTTGCAGCAGTTACAAACAGGTAACTGTAAACGATGCTGCACTGCACTGCACTGCACTCTGCATGCAGTTCACCGAGGAATCGGGGCCCTATTTATAGCTAGGAGAAGGGCACGCCGACGTCGGGCAATGCAGGCCGTTCCAAGGCGGCCAGCAGGGCAGTATCCAGTTGGGCAGGTCACACGATAATAGCCATTCAGCAAAGTCTCCGGTCGATGGATTGGATTTTCCAAGTTTTTCCACCACTACGACGTCGTCTATTATACGTAGCGTAGCCATCTCTCTCTAGTTTTATTTATAGCATGTACGTACTAGTTGTAGCCATCGATTACCGATCTGGGACTAAATCTAACGGTAGCTATGCCCGAACGAAGGCCGCGCATCCGAACGCGGCAGTCGCGATCCCGGGTGGCCTAACACACACCACGCCACACGGCGCGGCGGCGGGCGGCGAAGAGGTCCTCCGCCGATAGCGGCCGGTGGCGCCGGACGCTGCATGTACCACGTAGAATACAAAGGCGCGCGTTGGAAGGGCTCGTGGAATTTCTGGCCGAGCTCACCGGGCCCTCTGCCCCGTTTGACGGGCCGTGGCGGCTTCTTATCTTTGGTCGCCTGCCGTGCCAGCCCCTGCGACTTGTTGCTTGTTGCGTCTGCTTCTGCTCTGCTTGCCCGGTTGCCACCCATCCACCGCGTCGCGTGCGTGCCAGCTTTCGTCGCGGCCTCTCCCCGTCGGTTTCAGGGCAGGGGTGCCGGGGGAGCCGTGAACCCTGTTCAGATTTTGGAAGAGGAGATCAGGAGAGGCTGCGCTGCGTACTGCGTTACACATATTCCTGTCCCGCTTGCTCGCACTGCATGCCGCCGTGCAAGCTCGGTGCGCTCTCCAGCCAGCCCTGTGTGCTGAGAAGACAAGAGGGGTAAGCATGTGAAAGAAAAAGAAATGGAGTGAGGTTTCTGCATAAACGAAGGGGTATGGACTTGCAGTGAGTCACTTAAAAAGTTTAAGGACCTAATGGACCTCTAGTACATTTTACTCTTTTTCTTTCTTTCTTTGTTTTTGTTTTGAGGAAAATTGGGGCCAAGATGTAAGCATCAGCATATAGCAGAGGAAGAACAAGAGCAAGCAGCGGATAGTTCAGACAGATGAATCTTAGAACAGAGAAGTATTTAGATACAAGACAAGTTTTATATCATATCATTCTTAATCTCTCCTCTCTCGCCAGAGCTAGACTTATACTACTGGGCTACGTTTCTGTCCGTGGATGGCGACGGCAT